TTCCTACTTTTTCGTGAAATCTGTGCTTGTTGGATCACATATTCTCACTCCATCTTTGATTCTTGTTTTTTTCCTTGGCTTTTAAGTTTGCTGTAGGCATGTGAAGACAACAACGTTGGATATATACATGTACAAAGGTTGATTTTCTTCGATCCATATTTGATGGAGGAAATAAAAGTCCAAATAATGCAGAAATTCTACATATAGTCTCCACCTTATCGTTACACAATCCTGTTATTTCTGAAAAAAATGTTGGTGATTAATTTAAGAATAGACGAGCGCGTGAAAGAAAGAGAAAGAAACGTGCATTGAGAATCCTCAACTCAAAAATCTGATGCATGAAATGTAACCTTGTTCTGCAGATCGAAGTTTAAGAACCTTCAGCTTAACATGTTATATTTAGTAGTGTTTATACTTCTTCGGTGCTTGTATTTGTTTTGATTATATTTTGTTAAAACAAAAAAAAATGAGGTGCCAAATAGCGCATGAGTTCAGAACTTTCTGCGAGAGTTCAGCTTACTAATTTTTTTTGGCAGTTTGAACAGGCTAATTTTGTAGTTGTTTTTCATATAATAATTATATTTAGTTTTTAGTTTGATCTGTTATTGTTATTGTCAGAGAATATTTTTTGAAGTTCCGCACCATGCGGAGAGTGTGTGGAGAGTGCGGAGGAAGAGTGATCTCACTGCACAGTCCGAGAGATGAATTCATCTCTGCGAACTCTTCGGAGATATATATATATATATTTTTTATTTATTTATTTATTTTTTTTTTGAGGTGTTTTTTTTAATATAATATAGCTTTTCAAATGCTTTTTTTTTGTTATAATTTCCTGTTTTTTCAAATTTCTTACTAATCAACATTTACGATCAAGGAATAAGGGGGAATGGGTGTGAGTGGAACAAAGCTCTTTGCTGTTGGGACCACTTCATCTTTGGTAAATTTCCTCTTTGAGGGACTTGATGTAATTAGAGTTTCAATTTGCTGTCCATCATGGATTATGACTTCTCATTCGTAAACATGCTTGGATATGTTACTTTTTCCTTATTTTAAGTAAAAAAAAAAGTAACTTATTTTGTAAATAGCTCTTTCCCACTATCAAAAAAGTGACCAAATAAAATATTAATTCATTTTAACTTATTACTTAAAAGTAAGCTTAGATAGTACTATATAGCATAACATACCCCTTTTTTTTCTTATTTGATACTGTTTGGTAATGTGAAATCAACCTTACAGAACAGTAATTTTACTCTCAGTAACTTCTAGCTGCTACATGCATTAATTATCTCTGCATGAAGGAGGTATATAGTTCTTTTTCGTAATTATTACTCTTATTTCTTAGAATTACAGATGAATAAATAATTAAGTCAAAGCTGAGGAACATAAATTATTTCATTCATGTCTAGGTTGGCACGGTTGTGACGAATACACTGATAAATGCTTGAAAGGTTGTCGATCACTCTGCCGCGGAGGAGGTGTAAAATGTTCTCATACTCTCAACAAGTGTTGCATACGGTGTCTATATGGTAGTATCCAGCAATCTTCAGTATGTGAATCAACATATTACCCTTTTTTGGCATACTTATGCTAAGTATAAAGTTTCACAAAGGGTTTATTATAATCTGATTTGATTGCTCGATATAACATGAAGGGCTGCTTCTATGGTTTAAGATAAAACCAAGATGCAAAAATATCTGCTGATTTTTTTTTTTTGATTCTCCAACAGATACTAGGTATTGGCTGGTGTCATCGAGCAACGAATTTTAGAGCCATTGCTGCAACAACACAAGTTATTCTTGGGTGCAATTTGCTTTGCTGTGCGCACAGGCAACAAATACGGTAGCCTGCAAATACAGTAGGCAGCAAATACGGTAAGTTGTTTATAAATACGGTAGATGCAAATACGGTAGACAACATATACGAGGAGCTACCTGCAAATACGGTAAGCTGATTTATAATTTATTATAAATGTATAAAATTTATTTAATATTGAATTTCTTGAGTATTAAATATTTAATTCAATATTGTTTCCTTTTTTTATAATTCTATTTTCGAGAATTTATAAAAAATGTTATTAAATTCCTAATTTTTAAATGTGTTTTTTTTTTTGAAGATAAAAATAATTTTTTTTATGTTATTTGTAAAAAAAATTTTATTGTAATTTTATTAGCTTATTTTTTATATTTTGTGAAGAATTTTTTTATCATAATTGACAAATATTCTTCCATGCACGCATCATGCCAAAGTTTTTTTTTTTTTTTTTTTTCTCTCAGCACCTTTTTTTATTTTTTATTTTTACTCCACAGTTGGTTGAACTGTCTCCGCACCATGTGAAGATTTTTTTTTTCAATTTTACAATATTGAATTACACAAACTTTAGAAATATAATCTTCACATTCAATTCAATCATATCAACACTAATAGTTTGTATATTTCTTATTCAAACATGAAATATACAAGCATATTTTTCTAGATAACATACTGCTATGCAATTGTAAAAATAATTTGCAATTATTTTCTTATATCATGGAAATATTTTTAGATATTCCTTCAAAAACTTTCCAAAAAACTAAAATTCATACACTAATAAAAATACGATAAATACAAAATTCGTGCAA